ATTATAAAATAACTTCATTATTGTTTATTTGATTCTAACAAATAAGTTCTTGTTAAAAAAAAATAATTAGCTTATAATTTCCACACTGGAGAGACTTGGAAATATATCGGCATCGGCAATCGGCCAAAATGAGTTGAAAAATATCGGCATATCGGTTATCGGCAAAAATCTAATATCGTGCATCCCTAATTTAAATTGTACATTTTCAAAAAAAAAAAAAAAAGGTCCACCCCTAAACCTCAGTGTATAGGGGTACAGAAACGTTTGAATGAGATTGTGCTCGTTCATAAAAATTCACCAAAACGTAAAGTAGTTATGAATTGCCATGAGAGTGTATCGGTGCTTCTCTTTGTCAATTTCAAAATCTATTGCCAGCCTTGTCAGTGGATAATGCACTTTTTTCTTTTTTCAAATATTATTTTGTGAATGTTTGTGATTTATTACCAGCCTAGGGTGGTTTGCTGGTCTTATCCAGTTTATCTGGTTAAAACCATCAAAACAGGCCTGCCTAACCAGCTTTGTCAGGCTTGGAGATCAGCTTGGGTAACACTGTTTTCTTGTGCAGTGTCAGCCATTAAAATCCCTGTATGTGTCAACTGCTAATCTGAAATACCCTGTCATTACATTAGCATTTAGTATTTAGTTAAAATTAGCTCTGGCACAGAATTCTACATTGAATTGAATTTGACCTCATATTTTTCTCTGTTGTTGAGTCAGCTGTTTCATTGTTTAGGTTTCTTGACGCGAAACGGCCTTCGCAGTACAACATGGTTGTTGTTACGCAAAACTGGAGCCATAACAAAGCCGACCAGGAGTTTTTGTGCTGATAGCCTAGCTTACATCAAGGTCAATATAGTTCCTGCTGTTTACTGCTGATAAAAAGAGTTTTAAGTTTTGTGTTGTTTTTTTCATTAACTGAATAATAATAATTATACTAGAAGTTATACTTCATAATAATTCAATTATACTTCACTCTTGCCTGACCAATTTTGCTAAAAACATGTTGTTTAATTAGAAGCAAGTTATGCCCATACAGCAAAAAAAAAAATAAATAAAAAAAAATAA